TACATACCTTGTAAAATATGTTGGTATCGAGCATGTTTAAATATAAACAGTGTATAGGTGAACTTTTTTCGAGGAGGGGAGGGTTGTTGTATTCTGCGTTTTCGGTTTCGGATTGACATGTCAGGATGCCAGGGGGCGCCGCTCTGGCACCTAGGATTTGAAGGCGACTGTATAATAAAGGCAGTGTGTGTTGGGTAACCGTAGAGTGCGGTAGTTGTACTTTCTTTCGGCGCTGCGCTCCAACCTGCGTGTTCGGGCTGGTCGGGTCCCCGCCGGCCGCGTACGTCTCCGTCGGCCGTCTTCTTATTCTTCTGCTTCGTCGGGACCAGCCAGCCCCCAATACAGCAGTAACCTAGCAAAACGTCCGCTGCCGCATGCTTCAAAAGGGCTCCTCGATTTAATTATCCGAAGTCCTCTCGATTACGCGAGAGGACGAGCTTGTTCGCTCCCAGTTGGAGCAATTTGCTCCGCATTCAGTGCAGCAACTTTCTGCTGCGGGGGGCCAAGGCGGCGGCTCTTCTTTTCACGGGACGCGTCAACATGGCGGCCCTTCAGCTTTGTCTCGGCGCGGCGGCTAATATGGCGGCCCCTCTGCATCACGGGGGCGAGGAAGCCGACAATATGGCGACCCCATTCCGCCAAATTCTGGTTTTCAGGAACAGCACCGAGCTCCTAATTCATGTTTGCAATTTTCTTCTCCAAGCTCAACCGCGCATTGCTTTTGTTGTGGATCGGCTCGGCATTTAGCCAATTTTGCGCAGTGTCCCGGGAGAACCCGCTCTTGTCTTGCGTGCGGAAAAAGAGGACATTTTCAGTCCGTATGCAATTCCCGTCCAGCAAATCTTCCGGAACCAGTTTCTTCGTCCGCTCCTTCGAGCACTGCACAAACCAATACGGTCACTGTTTTAAATGTGGATTGCCTCCACACTACGTCCGAGCCCAGCATTGTAGTTTCAGTGGGCCATGTGCCCTTGTCATTTCTCGTGGACACTGGTGCCTCAGTCTCTTTAATCAGTGCCGCTGACTTTCACAGTCATTTTTCCAACATTCGGCTTTTGCCTTCACACGTCGTTCTACAAACATATTCCAAGGAAACGATTGATAATTTAGGTCATTTTACAGCTCAGGTCTCCTATTGCAGTCGCACTGCTTCCATTACTTTTTATGTAACAGCCAATGGCAGCTCACTTTTGGGACGTGATACCATCAGGGCTTTGTCTATCAACATCGTCGGCGCGTCCATGACGTATGCTCAAGTCGACGTCCAAGATGATCTTCCGGCCAATGCGCCTTCTGATTTCCACCACCTGTTCACCCGTGAACTGGGTTGTGTGTGCGGTTTTGTGCATAAGGTGATGCGTCGACCAGGTGTATGCCCTGTGCGTGCCAAGCTGCGCCGCATTCCTCTTCTTCTCTGTGAGCAAGTCTTCAGAACAGTCTCGCCTTCAAGCCAGCGGAATCATCGAGCCTGTCTCTGCTTCCGACTGGGTTTCTCCACTGGTCATCGTCAAGAAAAGAGATGGATCCCTTCGACTATGCGTCGACTTACGAGAACCGAACAAGGCGATCGTCGTAGACGGGTTTCCACTTCCTCACATTGAAGAACTGCTTCATCAGCTCTCCAGAGCGGTATGTTTCTCCAAGCTGGACCTCGCGTCCGCTTATCACCAAGTTGAATTTTCTGAGTGCAGTAGAGACTTGACCACATTTGTATCGCACGAAGGCTTGTTTCGGTTTCACCGCGTGTGTTTCGGGCTTGCATCTGCCCCTGCAGTGTTTCAGAAAATGATGTCAATTATTCTTAGGGGTTGTAATGGCGCCCTTTGTTACTTGGATGACATTTTGGTTTGGGGACGTACTCGCGAAGAGCACGATGCCAGCTTGCATACTGTTCTCAACCGCATCAGTGAATGTGGTATGAAACTTAATAACGAGTGCATTTTTTCTGTGAATGAGTTACATTTTCTAGGACATAATGTCAGTTCCCGCGGTTTGACACCTGTTGAATGTAAAGTTTAGGCCATTGTCAATGCCCCACGGCCTATGGATATTAAAACCTTGCAATCTTTTTTAGGTCTTGTTGGTTATTATGCCAAGTTTGTTCCTCACTATGCTGATGTTGTTGAACCACTGCGTACTCTACTTCGTCAAGCACAGCCTTTTAACTGGTCAGCTGAAGCTGAGCAGAGCTTCATTCGATTTAAGTCAATACTGGCCTCAAAGGCAGCTGTTAGTATTTTCAATGAGAAGCTTCCCATCGTCATCACGACGGATGCGTCCGATGTTGGACTGGGAGCAGTGTTTCAACAACTCAGAGGTGATCAGCTGATCACTATTGCTTTTGCATCTCGTATATTGACCCCTGCTGAACGCAGATATTCAGTAGGAGAGCGTGAAGCTCTCGCTTGTCTTTTTGCCTGTGAGAAATGGCATGTTTACTTGTGGGGCCGGCACTTCACATTACGTACAGATCACCAAGCACTAGTTGCTCTTCTTTCTGCAGGATCCAAAGGCCCCATTCGCATTTCCCGTTGGTGCGCCAAACTCATGTATTATAATTTCAGTGTTCAATATTGTAAGGGTTCTAATAACGTGGTTGCTGATGCACTGTCGCGCCTTCCTCTTCAGATACCGGTTACTGAAGAGCGGGATGAGGAAGTTGTTTTTTTAGTTACTTCCTGCATTACTAAAGCTGAGCTTCAGGCAGCTACAGCTGCAGATTCCACTTTGTCTCAAGTTCTCAAATATTTACGTGAAGGATGGCCTTCCAAATGTGCTCTTGCTTCTGAATTCTTGCCTTACTTCGCAGTCTTGTGTCGAGGACGTGCTTTTCCGCGATGAACGCGTGATTCCCCCTGCTTCTTTCCGTAACAAGCTAATACAGCTTGCCCATGAGACCCATCCAGGCATTGTCCGCACCAAACAGAATCTCCGAGACAGGTACTGGTGGCCAGCCTTAGACAAGCAGGTCGAGCATGCAGTTTACAACTGCCATATATGTCAGGCAGCTGACAAGTCTGCCAAACCTGCATTTTCTCAGTTGCACCCAGTCCAGTGGCCTGACCGGCCTTGGCAGAAACTCGGCATGGACATCATCGGTCCTTTGCATAATGTTCCGCAAAATGCCCGGTTCATTGTTTGTCTCATCGACTACCATTCCAAATGGCCAGAAATTTGTTTCACACATACGGTTACTTCTGAGGTCATCATTGAATTTCTGTCTTCAATCTTCAGCCTGGAAGGGTTTCCTGATTCCATAGTTATGGACAATGGTCCACAGTTTCAGTCCCAACATTTCGAGGCTTTTCTTTCACAACGAGGAATTTAGCACTTGAGGTCATCAGTTTTCTATCCCCAATCAAATGGCCAAATCGAGCGCTTTAATCGCGTTTTGAAGGAACATATCCAGATTTCCCAATTAGAGCACCGTCCCCTCAAGCAAGTCTTGACTGAATGTTTAGCTTCGTACAGGTTCACACCACAAGGCACCACTGGAGTGTCTCCTGCTCAACTTCTCCACGGTAGGCAACCGCGAGTTGCTCTCGACATAGTCTCTTTGCCTCGTAACATGGCAGTGTCTTCTCCTGATCAAATTCGTACCAGGGTTTTTTCTCGTCAACAAACAATGAAAAAGTATGTCGACACCCGTCTAGGTGCAAAGCAGTCCAAATTTCGCACTGGCGATCTAGTCAAGGTTCGTGTGCCAGGCAAGCGCCCCAAGTATCGGGGTCCTTACAAAGTCTTGGGCCAGGTTAGCCCCACTTCTTTTCGCTTAAGTGATGGTAACATCTGGAATGCTTCGCGCCTTGTTATTTTTGATACGGATTCGCCTTCAACACCTAAAAGTCTTCCTCATCACGTTCCGTCCACGCCTTTCAACTACGCATCAGACTGTTACATGTGGCCTCCATGTACAGGCATTTGTTCTTCAAGGGGGGAGGAGTTACCAGGCGGTGTCGCTGGTTCAAATACACCAAGTCATACGGTTCACTTCGAACCTTCAAATAAGGCTGAGACCGTTGAACCGCACTTCTGTCCGCAAAATTTTTCCGAAGCTCATGCTGCGAGCTCTGATGAGACTGCAGATTTTAACGCTCGTTCAGAGCCTTCACAATCTTCCACTGATCTTGATGTGTCACATCAGAGCAGAAGTGACCAAGGTGCAGAGACACCCGATTCTACACCCAAAAGGGCCCGCCCTAAGCGGAAGCGGCAGAAGCCCTGTCGGTTCGAAGACTATGTGATGTAGAACTCTTGTTCCGAACAGTTGTGTACATTTTTTTTGTTTGTCAGTGCATTTTCAGGACTTGTAGTGTGTGAGTTCGGTGTGCCGTGCTCTGAATTTTCATGTGTTCTAATATACATACCTTGTAAAATATGTTGGTATTAGCATGTATATATATAAACAGTGTATAGGTGTGCTTTTTCGAGGAGGGGTTGACTGTTGTGTTCTGGGTTTTCGGTTTCGGTTTCGGATTGACATGTGAGGATGCCAGGGGGCGCCGCTCTGGCATCGAGGAGTTCAAGGCGACTGTAAAATAGACAGTGTGTTTTAGGTAACCGTGGAGTGCGGTTGTTGTGCTTTCTTTCGGCGCTTCGCGCCAACCCGCGTGTTCGGGCTGGTCGGTGTCCCCGCCGGCCGCGTACGTCCCCGTCGGCCGTCTTCTTCTTCTTCTGCTTCGTCGGGACCAGCCAGCCCCCAACACAGCAATAACTATGGCCCATTATATGCCTTTTTATGAAATTGCTTTCTGGAAATCAAAATTCATATTGTCCAATACAGCAAAATATTGAAATGTCTATTTTCTTCGGCTTGAGCTTGACCACAGACTTACAAAATCTTTGCGTACTTGTTGACAAAAAGTGTACCCTAATTTAATCTCAGTGATATAGAACATACAGGTTTGATAGGAAGACTTCGTTAAACATTCTACACACCACATACCATTTTTTAGTAATGATCATAAATGTTTAATCACTTACCCACAGACCGCTTCAGCCGCTGGAACTCGGATGACGAGACAGTGGTCGGCATCTGGGGTCTGTAAATAAACAAACAAAAAAAAGAACACGAGTGAGATGTAAAAACACCTAGCCATTTCCTTGCCCAGTCCAATAAAAGATGCTTCTACCAACCTAGAATGTATTTAACTCATTTTTGTATACCTCCAAGGCAACAAAATATGTTCTGCCTTCATGCTGATCCTAAATGATTTGTGTCGGCGGAGCTGAAACCAGTGGATGTTCTACCCAAATACAATATAAAGTATCACACATCTAATGACATGCAAAGATTTATACCTAAATGAAAGTACTGACAGAAACAGGCATGGCGGGGCCCAGCTTTCATATTCTTCAAGCGCCACTCTCATGCCCTCGATAGATGAGGGAATGAACTTGGTGTACCTTACCATGACTTCCAAGATGATACAACTACTCGGGCTACAAAAAAAAAGCAAAATCATGAAAAACATCTTTCTAAGAGGTACAAGTGCACTAGGGATTCCCCATATCCACACAGGGCCATACCGTGGCAACCTTTGATAACTGCCAATTAACGTTTTTTGATGCAGTTGGTGTGCATCATTTATACCGTGCTGTGAATGCTTTTAGACTGGTTGTGTACGTGAACGAGCAGTGAGTGCCGAAACAGCGTTTTTTTTTAAATGAAGCCATGTTTCTGTAATGCATAGAAACCTAGAATATAAATCATTGCACAAGTCATTCATTGCAAACCAATCTTCCGAAAATGTGTGTGCACCAATACATGCGTCATAATTAATCACAATATTTAACTTGTGCTGCGCCGACCTCAGAGATTGCGGCAAATGCAACCCTTGATGCGAAGAAGAGTAAGACATTGAGAGGAATTCACTATAGGCTTGTATTATATAGATTGAAAATAAAAACTCTGTGTATCATCTCTTTTTTTGACTGTAGTGAAGTTCATACCTTCGTGGATGACGTCTGGCGACTGCTGGCTGATGACAATGACTCCGAAGTTGGACAAGACATCTCTAATTGTGCTGCCACCCCCAGGACCACAACCCATGTCATGGGACTTCAGCTTTGCAAACATCTTTCGAGAAAAAAAAGAAAAAAAACCGCACAAGTTGAATTCCAAATTAGGCCATCTTAGAAAACTTGTGGAATCGCTTCACTGGGTCTCAGGTTTGTACACTGGGTGAGCAATGCTGTTGTTTAATGGTGTGGATTGCTTCTGCTACCTAGACAATATTGACTTGCAGTCGACATATAAAATAAATATTAGAAGTTTATGAAAAGTCAAACATTTTGAATCTACACAGATGTTCTAATACCTTATTTGAGGTGAGAAGACCTTCGCTGGCCAGTTCGGATACTTGTTTGTTGATCCCCAAGATGCCCACACGTGTTCCAGGACTTCCAAGAATCTTCACAGAACCATTTGCTCCAGGTCGTTCACTTTTGAAGTCTGTCTCAATTGTTATCTGCATGCACAGTAAGAAAACATAAGCAACGAACAATGAAAAGGTATGATCTCAATTATTGAATTTATTTTTATAACACTCTTTTCATTATGAAAACATGTAACAACCCTTAACATGCCAGGAACCCATATGGAATAAACAGGCATCTTCTAGATGGTCTCTGTCAACCTTATTACACCCCTCATAGGCTTGTAAAAGTTACTCAGCAGAACTTGGCATTGAACACACCTCATGCACATACGTGTGTGAATGTGTGTGCACATGCATTTGAGTGAGTTTTGATGGAGTGCCAAATTGCGCTGTCTTCAATATGACAAGTTACCAACTAGCCAAACACCAATTTCTAATATAAGTTATAAAGGCTTAGCTAATGCAATTTTGAAAAAAAATCGTCTCAAAAGTGCAGTATTGTGTACAGCAGCATTTTCTTGAATACATTTCCTAGTGAACGTGTGCTTCAGAGAAGCATGGCATCTACCTGCCGATTGCGGAGGCTAAGTAAGCATCGCCACCTGTCCACCAAGATGAAAAGAAGTGTGCTCACGGCAGCCTTTTCCAAGCAGGCTTCCTCTACCTCGATGACGAGTGAGTCAGCCAGCAGGTGCCCTTCATGGAAGGCGTACACAAGGACGCGCACAGATGGCGACATGTCGTTCGTCACTGAGAACCGTGCAAAATGATATGACGACACGTCTCGATATAGTTCACCGAACCGTTTCACCTGGCCATTGTGTGTGACCTACAAGGAAAGAAAAATCACATCATATCCAAGGAGTGAATGATGATGAGTGGGGTGAAGTGCTGAAAGTTTTCATCGCTTAACAGTGAACCATCCGCGAATATCGCCCACTGCATCATCAAAGACGTGATAAACACTGTATATATCTATACAAAAATTTTGTTATTCATAAGTGGTGGCTATACGTCGCTTCCATTCCCCCTTTTTCATAACGGCTTTGTGGTCGGTGAAGTGGTGGATCAGTGATGCAGCATAGTGGGATGTTTGCAAGGACGAAGTAATGGGCATTTTGCAAAAGGGGCACTACAGGCGGTCAGTACAAACAAGGGATGGACACAGTGGGATGATCAATGGTTCTTTAACGTGCACCTGGAAAAAAAGTACAGGACCATCTTGCATTTCATATTGGCTACTTTTCAACAGTATTCGCTTTATGGTCGGTGGAGTGGTGGATTGGTGATGAAGCGTAATGGAATGTTTTTAAAGACGAAGTAGTGGGCAGTTTGCAAAAGTAGAATGAAGGCGGTCACATACATACATACAAGGAATGGACAGACCCACGTCTTTAGGAGCTTCGCCCCTAAAAGCCCGAGTTTGAAGGATATAGGAGAATGTAGCTTTAGGGGCCCACAACATCGTACCTAAATGAAATATACCCGTATAAGTACCCTGAGGATTTTTGCTACACATGCTGTCAGTAGATCGCTACTCTAGCTCACATGCCCTTGGAGTATGAGTCGCTAGGCCCAACGTACAAGAAGCCGAGATCGGAAGTCATGCTACATAGCATGAAATCTTAATATGAAATCCCGGTCGTCCGATACATCCACAACAGGGCCCGCAGGCTAGAGCTGTCGGTGCCCACGTGGGTATACACGGGTGGGTGCGGGGGACACTCTCCTCTACGTCAGTAATGTACCTTAATAAAGTTCATCTCCCTCCGTGTCTGCTCCTCAGTGGCGGATGTTCATAAGCCTGCACCAATGCGCACCCACTCCAGATGGATGTCATCAGCCAGATGATTATAAGACGCTTTTTCAAAGACGATAGTCTTTATTGAAATACTTCGACACAAAAAATTTCATCTGCCCGTTTTTCTATCTGTCTGTACATTTGTCTGTTTGTCCGTCCTAACAATACCCCAAACGACCAACCCCATTTGCAGCACCTATCAATATTGTTCAAGTTTCAGCATTCATAATTGTGCGATTGTCAATTAATAAGCAATTATTGTGCATATCTGAGGCACCATAACGCATCAATATTTTTCATGTGTGGCTTTATACTAGAGAAGGCACACACAAGTAATTCTAAGGACCGTAGCGTTGATCACGCTGCACTGACTGTGCAACGCGATGCTCAAAAAGGCATGACACGGTGGTGGCACCTGCCCGTCGCTTTGAGTTCTACACCTCATTGCCACAGAGACAGGCGCGCATTCAAAAAGGCATGACACGGTGGTGGCACCTGCCCGTCGCTTTGAGTTCTACACCTCATTGCCACAGAGACAGGCGCGCATCTTTCTCTGTGGGCACGCACGCCGTCCTTCGTTTTCGAAGATAACTGCCAGATAGTGCTGATGTCTAACGTGATGCGCTAGTTCGCCTTTACTGCTTGAATCGATACAAGTGACCGATTTTCTTGCGCAGAACATCAAATAAACGTTTTGTTCACTCTCTCCACACGCAAGACTATCATCTTTCGACGATATTTTGCAGTGAAACATGCAAATATGGGGCTTATGTTTTCACAACGATTCAAAAAAGAGGACTCACAATGTAATATCCAGGTGAAAAGGTCGGTGGATAAATCCCGACACGAATTGAAACGATGCCTCCAACCTGCAAGCCAGAAGTACAGATGTTACGATGAGCTCGTGAGTTGTATAAAATATCTCGCGTGAAGCCAACTCAAAATGTTATGGTAGAAGAAAAAGCAAAAAAGCTCAAAGAACCTTTTTTGACTTATTTATCGCAAAATAAGGCAAGCAGTAAATCACATATTGCGAGGAGCGTGATGAGAAGTTACGTAACTAAGAGCGTTACGAAGCATCCCTCAATTGCAATGACTACATATTGAGCTGTTTTAGAATAACTTAGGCGAAGCTTTTTGTTAGCATTTCTCGCTACTGTGCATGCGTCGTACACTAGCCTCTTAGGGCCTTCGCTGAGGAACAGAGTTAGCGGGGACCGCAACAAACGCTACCTTTGCGTACGCTATTCTAAATCTTTCTATTAATGTGTAAGTTTAGTTTTTGTCAATTTGTAAAGTAAGATATGTGGGGTTTAATGTCCCAAAACTATCATATATTTATAATAAATGCATGCACCCAAATTTGAGCACACAGCCCTACAGCATTTTCGCCTCCATCGAAAATGTAGTCGCTACAGCCAGGATTCAATCCCGTGACATGCGGGTAAGCAGCCCAGTACTTTATAACCACTAGACCACTGCGGTGGAGAATTGATAAAGTATAGTAGGTTGTAATGTTCATTTTATTTATTACTGTAAGTCATTGTAATAGTTGCATATTAATTCGTTAATTACAGGAAACTATTACTGAATGACCGAGCATTAGTACGTTAACCCAAAATTTAACTTTAAAGAGATTCACCACACTCAAAAGAGGGACAGATATGTAGACATGATGGATGCTACAGATCTATTGAACGTTTACTTATAAAAACAATAGCAATGCACTTGCACAGGCAAAGAACTGCAGTGTCTCTACATATAGGCTCTTTTCTCGGCGTGTAATGCCAGGAAAGGTGCACCAGCACGTTTATGAGATTATAATGTAATTGCTTACAACCTATATATATATATATATATATAAGGGAAAGAAGTGTATACCTAAGGACTCGTTTTTCCGTGTTTTAACGCAATATTAATGAGATCTAACAGACAGTAATGCCAAGGAATGTACAGGGGAAGTTATTAGAACCAATGGAATGTAAATAAGAAGAAAGAAAGTGGATGAAAAATAACCAGCCGTGAGCAGGATATATATATATATATATATAATATATATATATATATATATATATATATATATATAGAGGCGTTCTAGAGCGGCTTTCTTTTATAAAACAGGAGAGCTGTCACAACAAGTCAAGTGGTAGTGGCAGAACCAGCCTGTGCACCCAGCCAACCAAACCTAGTCTTCTTTACAGACTGAGTGATACCCCCTGCCTATCCGAGTAGCACTCATCTTCTTCACTACATTTTCCTCCCCTCCAGAAAAGAGCAATCCTGGCTACTCATGGGCAGGAGACAATAGAGAGATCGTAATACGGTTTTAGGCGGTCTATGTGGACGATCTCACATCCGCGGCATCGTTAATCATGGGGCTGCTCAAGCAGCTCCACGATGTAATTGACGGGTGAAGTTTGTTTAAACACATGGTAAGGGCCGTTATACTTGTACATCAGTTTCATTGAGAGACCAGGGCTGGTTGAAGGGATGCGAAGCCAGACAACGTCATCCAATGCATAAGAAGCAGGAAGCGTTGGGCTATCGCGGTGAGGTTTTTGGCGTTGCTGTTCAGCACTTGTGAGGGAGCGGGCAAGCTGATGACACTCTTCTGCGTATTTAGCAGCTTGTTACATCGTCGTCGACTCGGCAACATCCGGGCGGTAAGGATGAATGGTGTCTAGCGTGCAAGAGGGCTCGCGACCACAAAGGAGGAATATGGAGAGAAACCAGTGATTGTCTGGACAGCAGTATTATGCGCGTATGTTACAAAAGGGAGAATACTGTCCCAGTTGGAGTGATCGGTTGCGACGTACATTAACAGCATATCTCCTAATGTATGGTTGAATCGTTCTGTAATGTCATTAGTTTGAGGATGATACACAGTAGTGGTGCAATGAATGACTTGGCATTCCTTGAGAAGCGATTCGCCGGCGTCCAACAAAAACACATGCCCTCGATTACTCAGGAGTTCACGTGCACCGTGACATAAAATGATCTGATGCAATATGAAACGACCGACGTCACTCGCTGACGCAGAAGAGAGTGGTGACGTTTCTGCATAGCGCGTAAGGTGATTGATAGCGATGATTACCCAGGGATTTCCAGCCGGTGTAATCGGAAGAGGTCCATACAGATTGATACGAACATGGTCAAACGTTCGGGCAAGACAAGGTAAGGGTTGTATTGGAGCTGGAGGACTTGGAGCGGGATTCTTCCGGCGCTGGCAAGCGAGACAGGAATGTACATAGCGATGAACGAAGTGATACATTTCACGCCAGTAGTAGCGGTGGGACAGGCGGGTAGGTTTTAAATACTCCAGCATGGGCGCATTGTGGGTCGGCGTGAAAGGAGGCGCATATGTCTGAGCGGAGACGTCAGGGAATAACTAGGAGCTATTGGCATCCTTCGGAGAGATAATTTTATTTATTTTTATTTATTTACAAAATGCTGTCAATCTTCCTTGAGGGTATTACAGGAGTGTAAAAGATACAAACTTTTTACAAGCAAGGCAATGCAGTGGCAATACAAGAAGAGTACATAAGAAACGAACACAAGACGTCATATTGACATCATGACGTGCAAGCGTCACGATCATGGTACTAACTAATGCATACATCATACAGCAATAGCAATACATTGCCTACAACCAAATGATAAAGAAAATAAAATAAATTGTTAGATTGTGGATGGTTTCACCCGTATGCAATTAGGTTAGCACATAGAACTTGGGGGCACCGACATGAGATTTCCAACTTTCTAAAAATTTTTGGAGTGTTGACTGTGCTACAGTAGCTAAATTAAGCGCATTCCACTCTCTTATTACGCGAGAAAAAAATGAAAACCTGAAGGTATTGTTACAGCACAAATATTCTTCGAAGATCAGGTCGTGTTTTTGGCACACTTTCCCTTTTGCTTTTATAGTAGTGAAGGCGGAGGCATTAGTTTTAAAGTGGCCATTCAACAATTGGTAAAAGAACTTCAATCGATGTATTTTTGGGCTATCGCAGAGCGTAGATAGATCTGCTCGGAGCAGAAGCTCGGAAGGTGAATCTGTTCGCTTATAGCGGTTAAAAATAAATCTTACCGCCTTGCGCTGCACGCTCTCGAGCTTTTTAGTATTTGTTGAAGGAAACCGCACTATATTAGTATATTCTAGCATAGGTCTTATAAAGGTAATGTAGGATAAGCGCTTTGTATCTGTGGTAGCGTAGCGTAGGGTCCGTTCTAGAAAAAACAACTTGTTCATTGCCTTTTTCATCACTTGTTGTACATGCGCAGTCCATTTAGGTCAGATGATATTAGAAGCCCTAAATATTTATACTGGCTTGCTGTGCAAAGGGTGACACCATTAAGCGAGTATGGAAATAATAGTTTGCTTTTCTTTCTGCTTACGTTCATCATGACCGTTCTTTCAGAATTAATAACCATCTGCCAATCTTGGCAGATGGTTATTATAGGTCTGTATAGCAAACCATCTCTGATAACGAAGTGCTGTCTTTGACGGCACGTACCTCTAGGGATATTTTGCGAGGGAGTTTGACTCAACAAGTTGATAAGTGAAGCGATCCAAGGATTTTTTTGTTTCTCCTGAAGCATGTCGCTGACACTAAGTGCAGATATGTCAGGGGCAGGCGAAGACGGCGACTTGTCACTACATTGCAGAGGTGATCGGGACAAAGCGTCTATGTCAGAATGCTTTCGCCCAGATCGGTAAATGACGTGAATGTCGTACTCTTGCACCCGAGGCGCCCAACGGGCGAGCCAGCCGATGGGATCTTTTAATGAGAGTCAACATAATGCATGATGATCTGCAACCACGCTGAATGGGCGGCCATAAAGATAGGGTCAAAACTTGCCTATGGCCCATATGATGGCTAGACACTCTTTTTCGGGAACTGAATTGTTGGCTTCTGCTTTTGCGAGTGCACGGCTGGCGTAAAAGACGACAAACTCATCAAATCCGGGTTTACGCTGGGCGAGCACAGCACCGAGACCAACTCCGCTAGCATCCGTGTTTATTTCCGTCGGGGCAAGAAGATCAAAATGTCGCAGCATAGAAGGTGACGTAAGAAGGTGAGGGAGTGTGGCGAATGCATCATCACAAGCTGACGACCAACTAGAAAGGTCCCTGTTGCCGGCAAAAAGGTCAGTCAAGGGTGATATGATGGAGGCGAAGTTGCGAATAAAACGACGAAAATATGAACATAAACCGAGAAAGCTGCGAAGTTCTTTTAAGGTCTTCGGCTTGGGAAATTCGGCAACGGCACGGAGTTTCGTCGGATCCGGGAGAATGCCATCTCTAGATACAACATGGCCCAAAATTAGGAGTTTTTGAGCACCGAAGCAGCACTTCTTCAAGTTGAGCTGTAGACCGGCGGAGGTGAGGCAAGTAAGCACTGTCTCAAGGCGCTTAAGATGCGTTGAAAAGTCACTTGAAAATATCACGAAATCGTCTAAATAACACAGACAACTCTGTCATTTCAGGCCATAGAGAATTTTGTCGATCATGCACTCGAAAGTGGCAGGCGCATTGAAGAGCTCGAATGGCATGACGTTAAATTTGTATAAGCCATCAGAGGTAACGAAAGCCATCTTGGGCGATCAGCCTCAGCCATGGGAACCTGCCAATAACCTGAGCGCAGGTCTAGTGATGACAAGAACTCCGTGCCTTGTAAGCAGTCAACGACATAGTCTATGCGAGGTAGCGAGTAAACATCTTTGCGCGTGATCTTATTCAACCGGCAGTAGTCGACGCCGAATCTTATTGAACCATCCTCTTTCTTGACTAGAACAACTGGGGAGGCCCACGGGCTGTTAGAGGGCTCAATAACGCCACGCTTCAACATGTCATTTTGTTCAACGATTG